TATTCCCTCACTTTTTTTTGCAGCAGTATTTGAGCAAAATGAGTGACTTTTAAAATAGTTTGGACTGTTTTTTTTGTAATGCCTGCTCTTTGCTGTTGCTGGACAATTATTCCCTCACTTTTTTTTGCAGCAGTATTTCAGTGAAGTGAGTGATTTTTGAAGTAGTTTGGACTGGTTCTTTTAATGCCTATTCTTTGCTGTTGCTGGACATTATTGAGCTGTGGCTCAGGTGGGGTTTTAAAGCAGACGGACTCCTCGATGGGCAACTTCTTGATGGCAGGGGCGAGGAAGAACCTTTTCTGCATGGTTTCAGGGAGGAGTGAGTGCAGCACTGTGCAGTCCAATTTATTTCAAGAGCAGAAGGCTGGGGGTTTTTTAACTTAATTTGCAGTTTTTCTTAGCCAACGTGGCCTAATTTGCTTCTTCCTGGCTGCCAAAAAGGCAGAAGGGAGTTTTGCTCGTCCTGAGCATCCTCAGAGCCTGTGCTGAGAGTGATGGTTCCTGCCTCAGCATCACCTTCCCCCCTCGCCTTCCCAAATGCACCCGGTCTCTTGGAGCCTGGTGGGAACAGGTAGTGGCTGGCAGGGAAGAGGATGAGTGGGGTACAGAGCTGTCCTACCCTAAACCTCACTCCCTGTCCGCTCACAGCCCCAACAGGTTGCCGGGTTGGCTGTGGGCTGAAGGTGCAGCGACTGTTTGCTGCTTTATTCTCAGTTTCTACTGCGTTTGAACTAAAGGAGGGTGAGGAACAGCTCAGCATTCACAACTGTCCTGGTTTTCAGCTGAGACAGAGCTGGTTGCTTTTCAGTAGCTAGAACAGCGCTGGGGTTTGGGTTCAGATGGGATTTGGTATGTGAGAGAAACACTGAGAACATCCCCATGTTGCATTTTGTCACTGGCACTGAAGGACTTTGTGTTTTGTTAGTTTACAAGTGCAAGATCTCAGGGGTGAGGAATATTTGAATTAATGAGCTAAGTTGGTGTTTGGATGTGCCAAGGGGCTGTTCCATCTCATATTGCTTCATGGTCAGTGTATTAGTGAGGGGCTCTTCCTCTCTTGCTCTCTCTGGCT